GTTGATTATGCTTCAACTGCAAGCTTGACTGCTGATACCGAGTGATAAGTTATACTTATAATGATAGTGAAACAAGGCATTTCCAGAATCTGTAGTAGTACCTATTAGTAGTACTACTACTACTACTAAAGTTCAAAGCTTGCGCGCTTCGCGCGAGAGGGGAAAACTGATTTCAGACAAGGATTAATAAGAGTCGAGAATGGTACAACGAATCGTCTTCTTTCTCTATGAATTTAATGAAACGTCAAAGCTTGCGCGCTTCGCGCGAGAGGGGGGGGGGGTGGGAATGATTTCAGACAAGGATTAAGAGTTAAGAATGGTACAATGAATCGTCTTTTTTTTCTAATAATTTTTGAAAGGTCAAAGCTTACGCGCTTCGCGCGGGGTTTCCATATCCAACGCTCCTTATGTATTTGTTTGTTTAAAACTTCATTTATCTTCTTTTTCTAATTTCCTCATGTTATTCTTTATTTCTCTTTCTTTTCCATTTACATTTTGCTTATTAGCACCTGTCTTTCCTTATGGTATTTTTTATTTCCTCCTTCTTTTAAATTTTCTTTCCATATTATTTTGTTTAATCTTCCATTTCTATCTTTCCACAAGTTATTCTTTGTTTTAAACACCCAAGGACACCAGGTCCCCGTCACCCTAGGCACTGGAGTTTGCGTTACCTGTAACTCTCACCCTAATCCTAACCCTAGGACACCGGGTCCCGCGTCACCCGAGGACACCGGAATTTGCGTTACCCTAACTCTAACTCTCACCCTAACCCTAACCCTAGGACACCAGGTCCCGCATCACCCTCCGGAGTTTGCGTTACCCTAACTCTCACCCTAACCCTAACCCTAGGACACTGGGTCCCGCGTCACCCTAAGACACCGGGTCCCGCGTCACCCTAGGACGCCGGAGTTTGCGTTACCCTAACTCTCACCCTAACCCTAACCCTAGGACACGGGTCCCGCGTCAGCCTAGGACACCGGGTCCCACGTCACCCTAGGACAACGGGTCCTGCGTCACCCTAGGACACCGGAGTTTGCGTTACCCTAACTCTAACTCTCACCCTAACCCTAACCCTAGGACACCGGGTCCCGCGTCACCCTAGGACACCGGGTCCCGCGTCACCCTAGGACACCAAAGTTTGCGTTACCCTAACTGTCACCCTAACCCTAACCCTAGGACACCGGGTCCCGCGTCACCCTAGGACACCGGGTCCCGCGTCACCCTAGGACACCAGGTCCCGCATCACCCTAGGACACCGGGTCCCGCGTCACCCTAGGACACCGGAGTTTGCGTTACCCTAACTCTCACCCTAACCCTAACCCTAGGACACCGGGTCCCGCGTCACCCTAGGACACCGGAGTTTGCGTTACCCTAACTCTCACCCTAACCCTAACCCTAGGACACCGGGTCCCGCGTCACCCTAGGACACCGGGTCCCGCGTCACCCTAGGACACCGGAGTTTGCGTTACCCTAACTCTCACCCTAACCCTAACCCTAGGACACCGGGTCCCGCGTCACCCTAGGACACCGGAGTTTGCGTTACCCTAACTCTCACCCTAACCCTAACCCTAGGACACCGGGTCCCGCGTCACCCTAGGACACCGGGTCCCACGTCACCCGAGGACACTGGAATTTGCGGAGTTCGCGTTACCCTAACTCTCACCCTAACCCTAACCCTAAGACACCGGGTCCCGCGTCACCCTAGGACACCGGAGTTTGGTTACCCTAACTCTCACCCTAACCCTAACCCTAGGACACCGGGTCCCGCGTCACCCTAGGACACTGGAGTTTGCGTTACCCTAACTCTCACCCTAACCCTAACCCTAGGACACTGGGTCCCGCGTCACCCTAGGACACCGGGTCCCGCGTCACCCTAGGACACCGGAGTTTGCGTTACCCTAACTCTCACCCTAACCCTAACCCTAGGACATCTGGTCCCGCGTCACCCTAGGACACCGGGTCCCGCGTCACCCTAGGACACCGGGTCCCGCGTCACCCTAGGACACCGGAGTTTGCGTTACCCTAACTCTCACCCTAACCCTAACCCTAGGACATCTGGTCCCGCGCCACCCTAGGACACTGGAGTTTGCGTTACTAACTCTAACCCTAACCATAGGACACCGGGTTCCGCGTTACCCTAACTCTCACCCTAACCCTAACCCTAGGACACCGGGTCCCATTTCTGTTTGATTTTCTTTGTCTTTTGCAGTTTTACAAATATAAAACAAACAAAACATTTTTATACATGACAAAAGAGAATATGTGAAACAAAGTAAGGTTGGCTGTAACTAATCAGAAACATCAGGTTTATTTTTTATTGCTTGATTTTCTTTTTCTTTTTCAGTTTTACAAATATATAACAAACAAATCATTGAACATTTATACATGACAAATGATTAAACAAAGTAAGGTTGGCCGTAACTAATCGAAAACATCAAACAGGAGGGTTGACAAAGTAAGCAAAGCTTGATAGTATGACTACCCTCAATGGATACATAATAATACAAATATGGAGACAAAAATATTGGTAAAATGGAAAAAAGAGAGAGAGGGAGAAAAAAGGGAAGAAAAAAAATTAGTAGGGGGTGTACATCAAAATGTACAGATTTTTGTGGTAGATGGATTTTTATTGATATATTATGGTTATAGTATATTATTCCTCTATTCCTCTTTTCTTGTTTTCAATTTGTTTTACCCACGACCACTTCTTCTTCTTCTTCTTCTCCTTTGATCTTCATCTTCTCAATTAAACCACAAAGATATTTATGGTCTTCTTTGAAGGCGTCACTGTGCAACACTCTCTAACAGTGATTAACAGTAAATTCTCCCAACGTTTTTTTCTCTGAAACTAAGACATAAATCAGGCATTAAAAAATCTTAACGCTATATTGAGCCAATTCACTGCTTTGCCGATTTACATTCACCTAACGTTACCATGTGCGCATGCGCACCCTCATTGTTATCATTGTTGTAGTATTATTCCTCGATCTATTCCCCTTTCTTTTGTTTTCAATTTGTTTTACCCACGACCACTAGGCCCTACTTGTTCTCCGATCTTCATCTTCTCCCATTTCTCTTATTCTTCTTTTTAATATTATCAATAATGATAATATTAATAATAATAATTCTCTTTAATTCTCATCTGTCTTCGGACTATAGACTCTTTCTATTGTTCTGTACTTCATTCCTCTCTCCTTTGATGACTTTGCCAGGATTGGGTTGTCTGCCAACGATGTCCACACTGTGTGACGTCACCAAACCCTGTGCGTAGCACATCGTTGGTCGTTGTCTCTCACCAACATGCATGTGTTGAACAAAACTTTGCCGAGATTGTTTTGCCTGCCAACGATCCTACGATGTCCGAGGCGCAGAAGGGGAGGGGGGGGGGGCGGGGGAGGAAACTGAATTAGGACATAAAATAAGAGTCTGTATGATACAACAAATCGTCTTCTTTCTCTAATAATTAAAGCTAAAACCTTCCATGCTTTGCGCGGGGGGAGGGGGGGGGAGGGGGGGGGGGGGGGGGGGGGGGGATTAATGAAACACCAAAGCTTCCACGCTTCACGCAGGAGGGGGGAACCTGACTTCAGACAAGGATTAAGAGTCGAGAATGGTACAACGAATCGTCTTCTTTCTCTAATAATTTAATGAAAGGTCAAAGCTTGCGCGCTTCGCGCGAGAGGGGGGGGGGGGGGGGGGGGGGGGGGGGGGGGGGGGGAGTGGCGGGAACTGAATTCAGACAAGAATAAGGAGTCAAGAATGGTACATCAAATCGTCTTCTTTCTCCAATAATTGATGAAAGGCAAATTAAAGCTTCCGCGCTTTGCGCGGGCGGGGAAAAACTGAATTCAGACAAGAAATAAGAGTCGAGAATGGTACAACAAATCCTCTTTGTTTTCTAATTATTAATGAAATTTCAATCACCAGCGGTGTGCCAACGTACTGACAATGGATCATAAATCGCCATCATGCCAACGTACGTACTAACGCTGAAACATGAAGTTAATAACGTGACATTTCAATCATTAATTTCATATCGCATTAATTTGAAACAGCTCCCCCAAGTACTTTTAAATGAATAAAATTGTAAATCTCCATCGTGCCTAGAAAGACAAATGTGAATGTTATATTCCTTATTCGGTCAATGGCCAGATGACGGACGGACCAATTACGTGCCAACGCTCCTTATTTCCTATATTTTTTTCGTTTGGCAATGAGGGACGGGCCAACGTGCCAACGCGCCAACGCGCCTTATTTCCTTTCTTTGTTTGCCATTTAAAGTACACCACAAGTTCCTGATTTTTTCCCCCCATTACTTTTAGGCTACTTATTTCATATTTTAATTCAGTTGGTCAATGAGGGACGGGCCAACGTGCCAACGCGCCAACGCGCCTTATTTCCTTTCTTTGTTTGCCATTTAATGGACACCATAAGTTTCCGATTTTTTTTCACTCTTTACTGATACTTTCCAACAGTTGTTAGACCTACATTGCTTTTTGACGATTTTCAAGCAATATAAAGAGTAAAACATTCCAACTAAGGTGAGAACATCTTTAACAATCTATAAATAAAATACTTTGATGTGTAAGAGGTAATAGGAAGGAGTTAAAACATAACAAATAACCATATTTCCATGCTCGACTTGATGCGTTAGCAAATTCAGAAACTGGTCACGAATACGAAAGGAAGGGACTACACTAAATTGGTACGTTGGCGCGTTGGCGACCAACGGAGATACTAGGTTTAGGTGGGGTATTCTAAAGTTAAGCCCTAGCTTGCACTGTATCTGGAAGAAGAAAGATCAGACATCTCAATCTGATCATAATGGTTTCATCCGCGACCGGTTATACCATTCACAATATTGCCAATTCAAACAATGTGAAAAGCAAAATCACACACAAATAACTCTGCAAGTCGCCAAGTGCAACTCAACTTCTCGTTAGCTATTATTACTTTTGTTAGGTAGGAGAGTATTAAAAAGATTAATGCGTAATATTCACCATGCAATGAACCACAGCAGTACAGCAGGAAAGTCAAACTCAGGAAAGATATGTTTCCCATCTTCGGTTAGGCCTAAAATACTAAATCAAAATTCAAATTCATCGAAGCTTCATGCAACCAATGCAACGCTAACGTCCAATGCACGGCAAGTAGACTAGCTATGCCTATGCTGAGCTGTGAATTGTAAATATTTATGAATAATGAAGTAAGACTAAATTGTAATTATTTATAAATAAAGAAACTTGGTGAAGAATTATTTACAAATAAAAATATACATTTACTTGCATTATATGTAAATAATGGTTATTATTTGTTAAATAATGATTAGCTAGTCTACATAACATATAATTCGTCTATATGATAGTTCTACAAACGGCGCCTCATAGCTAGCTAGCAAATCCCAAAACAGATGATCGGATGATCGTGTAGAGAGAGAATATGAGAAGGGCTCTAATTATTACCGTCTCCATAATAGAATTTCTTACCGGGGGGGGGGGGGGAGGGGGGCACAACATGCGCGGATCCAGGTGGGCCGAGCGGGCCTTGCCCCCCCCCCCCCGCCAAAAAAAAAAAAAAAATGTGGAGCCCCACAGAATACCCCCCCCCCCTATTTTTTTGTATATCTTTGACTATGTATGTATGACACAAGTATATTTCTAGCCCCCATATAGTCCCTCCTCTTAGTTAATTAGGTACCCCCTCCTGCGAGAGTGGCCTCACCCACAACTAACCTAAACACACCAGCTGGGATACCAGGAGTGGCTTCTCACTTTGTTTTTGCCACGCATCTCAGTCAACACCTTTCTTATTTTGTCTTCCTTTCATAGGTAAGAAAGAATCTTATATTATTCAATTGTGTTATATTCTTGTTGTTCATAATATGTGTATTTCTAAACTATTAGCTTCACTATTCACATATCTTGTATTACTGTGTAAAAAGAGATATTAATGATCTTTGCCAATGACTTGTTGGATTATATGACATGTGGACTATGAGAGGAAATATAAGAAATGCCATGTGGGAAGAGATGCCATGTGGGAAGAGATAATGTCATTGATGAACTTAGTAATCACTTGTAGAAATGATAGGAAAGTATTATCGTGTGTGTGAGATTGATGATTATGTTGTTTGATTTAGACAACATTTTAAGTAAGTTTTGAGAAGAGAATATACTTTATTACTGTCAGTATATTTGTCTTTTGCTCGATATTCATGTGTATATATATATTCTTAGCCAAGGACATGTGCCATTTACTATGCATTATGCCAAAGCACATTGTTATATATTCTAGTTTGGTTAGATACAGTTTTAATAGCGAAATGAGTGGTTCAAGTCCAGATTATCTTTAACTTTCAGTATTATGGTATGAGTGAGCAGTCAGTCCGCAACGCCCGCGATAATTAGGCAGAATGCCCAAATTTACACAGCACCCGGAAGTGCGATAAACCGTCGTATTTCGTGTCCCGCGATTTGCGAGATTTCGTGAGACTTTTGCACAGGTCAACAAACTTTATCACAGCTGCTATGGCTTTTACTGTGCTGCGTAGCATGTAGGGGTAAGTGAATCTCCATACTTTTCTACGTATTTTGATATGAAATTTTCCTAATTTTACCGCATCTAAGTGATTGTAAATATTCATTGAAATGTGTCCATATTTTCCTTCTTTCATAGGAGGTATTCTGACATTACCTTGCATTTAGCGTGTTCCTGACTGGTATTAGCAATGTTTTTCCCCAATTTTTTGATTTTTCACAAGAAAAATGTTGGCAGAAGTGAAAAAGCGCAGAGTTCAATTGATGCACGATGTATTTTATTAGCTTTTATGGCCATGAAAGTTACACATTTTTCGATTTTCAACCGGAAGTTGTGTGACGGCTACGTTAAAATCACTCATTTTTGCCGATATGGCGCGAAAAGTGTACGTTTCGCCAACATGGCCGCACTATTTCGTAGTCATCACCGTGACCGCGTACCGGTCCCATACATAGCCTTTTCTGTACCGATCCGGCATAAAACAAAGCCATATCTGATCTGGGGCCCTCGACTTACGTGTACTATTCCATTAAATTAGCAAGCTCTCTTGATAATATTTATGCTTAATCCATTTTATTTTTACACGAATTTAACAGTCAACTGTGAGAGTTAAACAGTGACTCTGGCGTCTGGTCAGACTCAGATAATTATATTATTAATTTAGGGATTCTCAAACTAGATCTAGGTCTAGTTTGGTTGTGCCTTTTGTTTTGGTTCTGGTCAACTCAAACTTTACAACCAGCCATAGAAATAAGCAGCATTTCCCTTGTGCGAGTTGTATTATGATTATGAACAAAGCAGAATTGAAACAAAAAGCCAAAGTTAAACACTTACATTTTACAACTTGTGCACATGTGGAAAAATGAAGGGAAAATTTCATGAATTTGACACCTGTAATTTGTTTTCATTAAAAACAATTTTTTAATGCAAGCAGGTTTTGTCTACCATAAATTGACAGCTACTTTCATCAGATCTTTTAAAATCCCCATACCTGAACTAAGCAATTTTATATTCCTTCTTATCATTTGTCATTTGCCAGGACCGAAGAATACAAGAACAGCTTCTATCCTCGTAATGGAATCAACTACGAGCCGGCAGCCACCATCATCAAAGTCAACATCAGCCAAGTCTTTCCATACCAAAGTTTGGAGCTACATGCAGAATGACCACTCAGCGCAGCTGTACACAGGCGGGCTAGAGCGTCGATGTGGCTCTACTTCATCTAAAAATTAGATGATGTCTGCAACCAACTGTATTTTTATGAGCACCTTTTTATTTTTATTTTTGAACTCTGCACCCTCAGTTGTGATGTTTGTTGACAGTTTGCGATGCCACGGAAGTCTGGACGTATATAACAATTGGTCCTGTCCAGAACCACCTTAGATGTAGATGTTGTTGTTTTTCTGACGGATGCACTCAACCATCGAACTTGCGGAACATTGACAACAAATTAGCTAAGACACAGACTTCACACATCAGTCTCCATTGCATTCCTGAATCAGCGTTTGCTAGACTTCACATACATGTAGGAACAAACAATCTTGAAAGCGGAGTTTGGGAGAAGGACAAGAAGGATTTTGTTCAGCTTATTCTTTCAGTAAAAGAAAAATCCATTTCAAGTGATTACATTTTTGTATCTCTGATAGTGATACTTCGAAGGTGGGATTCCTGAGCTTTACATGAACAAAGCATTTATTATAATAAAAAACTGATTGAACTGTCACCGTTATACAATTTAAAGATGTTTTACTCGGATAACACTTTTATTCTTAGTGACACATGTTATGCAAGTAATGGTCTCAAGCAGGGTAAAAATTAGTACTTATTTTTCGGGGGCTACTTTTCAAGCTTGCCTGCGTAAAAATAACACTCTAAAATTTGTTTTGCATTGAACTTTATGCAAATTTATGGGGGCTCTTTTCTGATCTTCGGGGGCTATTTCGTCCTGAGCCCGTGTATTTTTTTCACTGGTCTCAAGTTCTCAACATACAAGTCAAAGTCAGTTTATAAATAAATATGAATATTATAAAATGGAAATATTATTCCTAGTCCAATTTCATTTATAATTATTTATCATTAGTAGGAGTCTTAATAATATATTTTGTGTTTAGCCGGCTATGGTGATGATGACGATGGCAATGATCATGATGGCTATGGTGATGACGGTGATTATGATGATGGTGATGGCTATGGTGATAATACTGACGGTGATTATGATGATGGCAATGGTGATAATGCTGACAGTGATTATGATGATGATTGTGATGGCTATGGTAATAATGCTGACAGTGATTAGGATGATGATTATGATGATTGTGATGGCTATGGTGATAATACTGATGGTGATGATCATGATGGCTTTGGTGATTATGATGATGGCAATGGTGATGGCAATGATCATGATGGCTATGGTGATAATGATGATGGTGATGGCAATGATCGTGATGGCTATGGTGATAATGCTGACGGTGATTATGATGATGGTGATGGGGATGATCATGATGGCTATGGTGATGATGCTGATGGTGATTGTGATGATGGCAATGGTGATGGCGATGATCATGACAGTGATTATGATGGTGATGTTAATAGTGGTGATGGTGATGTTAATAGTGGTGGTGATGATAATGATCGTGATGGCGATGATGACTTTGATGATTGTGATAATGATGTTGAAGGTGAAAATTAAAATATTAATTTTATTTGCGCCCTTTCAACCCACCACACATTAAAAATGTTATCCGATAGTCATTACCATACAAACAAAAACAGAAAATAAATGATCAGATATATATTTTGCGGGTCACTATAAAACAAAAACAAACAGAAAAGAGAATAAGGGAAAGAATTTTGTAATTATTTTATTTTTTAAAAATACACATGAACTGGAGTTACATAAATTGACAAAAGAAACATCAAATAAAATATTACTATCAAAGAATGCCTGGGGATTACCAAAATAAATTGATGTTTAAGGCTCTTCTCATGTCATTGATTAGTCCATGGTTTACAATTTAAATAAAAACACATTTCAGAACTTTTACAACCTACCGCCTGCAATACAGCCATGAAATTTAAAAGCAGGGATGGGAACAATCATATTTTCATTTTTCAATGACAATACCAATGCCAATCGCTTCCCCCCCCCCCCCCCCGAAAGTTTGTATTTTCACAAATATACATTTGAGAAAGAAAATGTATCTTCTTTGTTAAAATGATATCAAAGCCTGGCCAAAAATGACACATAAAGACACTTAAACCCTTCCCACTGTCCCCTATTCATTCTAGAGGTGGTATTCTATAGTGTACTTGAGTGCGTATCCGCATCCAACTTGTACTCTGCAGCTCTGTAGACTTCTATTATTGAGTAGCGCATAAGTATGATACACAATAATGAGTATATGGGGCAATACAACACCTCTACGTCCGGGGGTTACGCACCAGAGTCTAATACGTGGATATCCCTAATCACCGTCTATCCTCCGTGCGTGTTCATGTACAGCGCACGGACACAGAACATCGATAATCGACGCAAAGCTAGATTTAACGTAGTATCCCCCGGTTGGCACATGACGTCATACTCTGATGACCCACGCATATCGTCTGTGTCACCGCTGTTGAATATGTTGGAATGAACATGGTGTTGTATTTACCGTGTTCCTGACTGGTATAAAGAAGTAAAATAAAGGAAACAGTGATGGTTTGAAAGTTTGTATATTTATCATCACAATGAACCAAATTACTTTTTGATGCAGTAGCGTTTTCATATATTTTTTTAATGCTGCATATCGTTAAGTTGCTATGTTTTTTAGACTGTTTTTAAATGCTCTTTTTAGAGCATGTTAACGTTAAAAAAATATCTTGATGTTTTGTAAAGATGGATTATGTGGTCTATCTTCTTTATATTGGTACATAAATGAAAAAAATCCATAGAGAAACATTGATGTAATCGTAATTTTCATGTACCAATGTTTTCTGCTTAATGTCCGTTTTTACCGTACATAGCTTGCATACGACTTGTGTAAATACGAGCGAATTCGCGGACGCTGCGGACTGACTGTGAGTGTGGACACACCTTGTGTATAATATTAGTGTGTTATTAGGTTATGGCAGTGCGTGCAATGTGAACACAACTTCTTATCAGAGTTCTTAATCCCCTCTCCCCCCAAGCTTGACCATCCACTGCCATGCATTACACGCACACAGTGTAGATAGAGTATATGCTATACCCAAATGCTATGTTGAGAAGTGTTAGAGATAGAATGTGTTTGTTTTTGACCCATGCTGGAAATGGTATCTTAGGCGGGAATGAAAGTTTGGTAGAGTCAGCAAAATGAGAAGACAAAGGATTTGAGTTGGGGAATACACTTGTTGAGAAACACATGGTCAAATTGTCTAATAGTTAGCTAGTGATGGATGGGTTGATGAAATATTGTAGTTGAAGACTTGCATAATCACTGTCTGGAATTCTTTGAATTATATTGTTAGGAATGATAATTCAGGTTAAATGTTATTGGGAATTACTCTCTCTCTCTCTCTCTCTCTCTCTCTCTCTCTCTCTCTCTCTCTCTATATCTCCCTCTCTCTCTCTCCTCCCCCTCTCTCTTTATATTCTCTCCCTCTCTTTCTCTCTCTCTCTCTCTCTCTCTCTCTCTCTCTCTCTCTTTCTGTATGGTTCACCCTTTCTCTTTCACTCTCACTTTGCTTTGTATATAACCATGAAATGAATATACATGTATTTAGTAAAACTATTGGTCGTTGATATAGATTAGAATATGAAATATGTATGTGTAGATGAGATTCCAGTTAGAGGAAATCGTAATGGGTTGTAAGTTTGCTAGAGCTATATAATTAGTGCAGACTGCAGACTAAGACTATTTGCCAGTTCTGTGAATATTGTAAGGAGTTTAGGATATAAGTTGTTGAAGATGTATCTTTTCAAGCTCAGTAATCTCGCTGAAAAAGATAGTATTAGATCAAAGTGATGCAGATGACTATCGGAAAATACATGAGCTATAGTTAAGGAAGAGTTATAAGTTTATTCAGTATTAATGTGAAGTCCTGAGACAAGAAGTAACTTGTGAATTTAGGGATTAGTGAAGGCTGAGAGTAGAATTACATTCTAAGAGTCTATGTGCACAAGGGATCCTCAGTCTTGGAGCGTAAAGAGTAGAAAGCTTATTAGGCAATAGTATAGGGATGATTATGCCAACATTCTTGTATTAGGTCTATATATGTGATTTCTTGAAAGAGACGCTACGTGAAGAGTTATATGATTAGAAGCTAAAGTAGATTGACTGATACCGCAATGTTATAGACATTTGATAAGGGTTAAGTTATTTATTAGTAGCCAAGCTATGATTATGAGATCGATGAAGAGTTGCACTTTTACATAAAGCATGGAAGTAAGGATAGTTTCGTAGAGATAGTAAAGTAATGAAACTTTCCCAGATGATGTTCTTAGTGATATAGAAAGAGAACACCGAGAGCTAATGAATTCAATGTATGTGAAGAGGTAGATTTATTTGTGTTTAATACTTGAAGAGTATTGTTATGCCATTTGATCGTATATATGTTATTGTAAGAAAAGACTGTTAATGTAGAAGATTAAGTAATAAAGACTTTGTTTTTGCCACGCATCTCAGTCAACACCTTTCTTATTTTGTCTTCCTTTCATAGGTATGCCCCCTCCCTCGGGGTGTGGGCGCTACAAATTTGGCGACCTTGCCAGGACGGCCATCGTCGAAGAGACACGAGGACGATGTGTCGTCCTATGACACGAACAGTTGGATAATCGAAGAAGCAGTGATGTAACGATTAGGAAAAAAAGGACCAGAAGTCAGAGAGCCGGAGAAGACCATCCCTGATTGGAAATGAGGTTGGCTCAGCATCAGAGAGAATGGGACAAGCTGCAGAGAGGAGAAAAGGCTACTACGAGCGTGCAGTATGCAGCAGGGTGCTACAGCAAGGGGATAGGGCCCTGGTGCGAAGTCTGGCCCCGCCAGGTGGCCAAGGAAAGCTTCACCCTTACTGGGAGGAAATAGATGGCGGAGCAGTGAGTGGAGTCAAGGATGTCCAGGGGTTCTCCAAGCTGCCACCCTCAACAGCCCAGCCACGGCCTGCACCGTTCCAGTACCGGTATGACCTACCATTCTACCTCCCCATCAAAGGCCATTACAGATGCAGACGCAGTAGCCCACCAGCAACCAACCCACTACTAACAGCAGATGACAGAAGACCAGCTGAAATTTTCCTAGCAAGCGAGTCCATCATTGAGGAATGCCTCAAACTGATTTTCTTTTAATTTTTACATTAGATGCATCGTTATATAGAATCATGTGTGCTAGCTGTTTAATAAACCAGAAATACGAGTAACGCGAAGTAGTAAGATGAAGCAAGTTGTAAATCGTTTCATGAATTGTGGTGTATAAGCCTATAAGGAAACAAGCGATGACACTCGATAGTGATCAATATAGATCTTTGTGATAAAGTCTTCGGGATGAGTCGCGAGCTTCCCAAGAAACCTTCACCGTATGTCAGGCGCGCCCGTAGAATGGGTTAATGTTTCGCAAAGTTTATTTGTATGGAAGAAAAAGCCACGTAATTCTGATACGATATTATGATATGTAATTCTGAGACTTCAAGTACCTATTAGGTTTCGCTATAACAAGTTGCAACAAGTGTATATATGAACTCGATGTACTACATGTATTTCGCAGAAGA